CCTTGAATCTGGAGAAGTCGACGATCACCCTCTGGACGGATTCTACTGTGACGCTTGGCTGGATACGTGGACATCCTTCAAAATGGAATACATATGTAGTTAACAGCGTTGCAGAAATTCACCGCGACGACCAGGATGCAAGATGGCGGCACGTACTTGGTAAGGAGAACCTTGCAGACTGTGTCTCCCGGGGAGTGTCGCCGAAGAAGCTCCTTCAACATCCTCTGTGGTGGCGAGGGCCGGAATATCTCCGCTATCGCGCGGACTTTTGGCCGAAGGACGTCGGACACCTGGAAACGGCTGACTTACCGGAGCAGCGACCGTTACGATGCCATGCAGCCACCGAGAAGCGAGAACCTGAGGAGCTCAACCGCTTCTTCTGCCTTTGTCGCTTGCTTTGCGTGTCAGCCTGGATCTGGCGCTGGAGGCCACGAAGACTTCGTTCGACAGATGGTGAAGCTGTGTCGGCGTTCCTGGGACCTAAGGAGCTGGAGGCCGCCCTGTCGAGATGGATCCGGTTAGCTCAGGAGTCGAGTCATACCATGCAGAGCTGCGGGACATCCGTGCTGGAAGGACGCTGCCTGCCCGAAGCTCGCTCCGCAAGATGGTTTTTATACTGGATGACGAGGGCACCCTGAGAGTCAGCGGGCGCCTAAAACATGCAATTTTGGATGCCGACCAACAACATCCAGTCATTTTGCCGCCGCAATCTCACCTGACTCACCTGGTGATTGACGCCGCCCACAGACGTACATTTCACGGAGGAGTCCAGGCCACCTTAGCTCACATCAGGCAACGATTTTGGATTCCGCGAAGACGCCAACTGGTTTGCCGCCACATCCACAGCTGCCACCCATGCGTCCGATGGCGGGCGGCTACTCCACGGTCAAAGATGGGCGACCTGCCGAGAGCGCGCGTCACTCCGAGCCGTCCATTTCAGCACACCGGCGTGGACCTCGCCAGCCCGGTGTGGCTCAGAACGACGAGAGGCCGAGGACACAAGGCCTACAAAGGCTTCCTAGTTGTATTCGTGTGTTTCAGATCAAAGCGGTCTTTCGAAGATTCGTTAGTCGACGAGGATTGCCACAAAAACTCTACAGCGACAACAGCACGAACTTTCACGGGGCGGACCGGGAATTAAAAACGGCTTTTGACAAATTGACCAACGACATTTCGCTACGAGCCACTCTTGCAAACGACCGAGTGGAATGGCATTTCATCCCAGCCGCAGCACCGCACTTTAGCGGTCTGTGGGAAGCGGGAATAAAGTCTAAAAACGCACTTGAAAAAGGTAGTGGGTCCGCGTACCTTGTCTCAGGTCGAATTTGCAACACTACTTTGCAGAGTCGAGGCATGTCTCAATTCGCGTCCCATTGCTGCGTTAAACGACGACCCGAGCGATTTGTTAGCACTCACGCCGGGTCATTTTCTTATAGGTCGATCAATAACCGCAGTACCGGAAGAATCAGTACTCGCGGTAAACGAGAATCGACTCTCTCGATGGCAGCTCGTCAACGCAATGCACGAGCGAGTCTGGCGTGCTTGGTCTCTTGACTATTTGCATTCGTTGCAGCAACGAAGCAAATGGAAGGATAAGACTGCGAGTTTTTGCGTCGGTGAGCTTGTGCTCGTAAAGAACCCACTGCTCCCTCCGAGTAAGTGGGAACTCGCTCGAGTTACACAGATCCACCCCGGATCCGACGGGCTCGTTCGGGTAGTAACGATACGCACCGCGTGCTCCTCGTTCAAGCGACCAATCACGCTGCTTTGCCGTCTCCTGATTAATTGTGATAATTAATTCCGTATTATACGAAAATTTGTAAGTGGATTAAATCTAGATTTAGGGAAGAGTTTGTATTTGTTTGCAACAGCGGTTCGCTGGTCTTTCGGTTGAAGATAACTGTGTTATCCGAACGGACGACCTTCGTATAGATATCCGTCCCTATTTGCACTCGAAATTTCGAGAAAGTAAATACTTCGCACGTTCTAAGCAAGCTGTGCTCATTGTTCGCAAATTTTATTTGTTGTCACATAGTCACGTCGTCGCGAAGATTATAAGGTTTCGCCCTTTCAAAGGTCATTCAGCGAGTTTAACATCGATTGCTCATTTTGACACATTATAACGACTCAAACCTGTGGAATGATTTCGCATCGGTTCGCATGCGAGGCGGGCGGTATGTTTAAAACTTGGAACAAAGCTGTCGAGAAAAAAAAAATATATATATATATTGTTCTGGTTCCGAGTCGAAGCCAGGGACTCAAGGCTCGACCAACGATCGACTTTGTTTGGCACCTCGAGCGGACATCGACAGGTCAACCGGCCAGCGAATCACGATTAGCCGCGCGCGTGTCACGCGCCGAGTTCATGCAAAGCTCGTGATTCCGAATCGGTTGTCTTCCCCGAGGTTAAAAAAAGAGTTCAGTTAGCCCAAAGACACAGTCAAGAGCACCCAACGATAAAGCGGTATGCTTGTAACGGATCCGCGATATCCTGTCTTTCTTTGTTCTTGAAGAACGACAATCGAACCTCAATCACGTATTCAATAGTCTATCAAAAGGGTCCGAAGCGTCGGAACCAGATACAGTGTACAAATCTGATATGATACAATAAAATTACTGTTATTAAAATTAAATAAAAGGAAAAACAATCACAATAAAATATAAAATATATTTCATTAATTTTACTTTACGGTTTAGTAAAATTAATAAAACATGTTTCATATTTTATTGTGATAGATATTATTATTTTGAATGTGATAAATATTAATTAGAGGAATTCTAATAAAATTTTTTCCATACAATATTATCCTACGATTACCACAATTTTCAGGGCAAATTCTAAGAGAAAATTCTCTCAGATTGTGATTATGTGTTGTAATTTGTAATCAGTTATTTATTACAATAATTTTTAATCAAGTGCGTGAGTCAAAGTGTCAATAGAATTTATTACAAAAAAATGATTTCATCATGCAGTGTGTCACAGTGTGTCAATATCGGATTGTATCCAGTCAGGCAACAATTATTCGTCAAAGGACATCAAACATCTCTACAAGGTAAGAATCAGTGAGAGAGAGAGAGAGAGAGAGAGTGTGTGTGTGTGTGTATACGCGTACACACACACGCACACACACACACACACACACACACACACACACAAAACGCCGCGTGTAACAAACAGCTGATCGCTTCGAGCGCCCACGTAATCGCCCGCGTCGGATAATGTGGTGCGCCGCTCCTGATTACCGCCCGTACTCGTGCTGTAATTCGCTAACTATTTCTTTTTATATTTCAAAAACTAAGCTTCGGATAAAATTTTGGCAAAGGAAAAATCGTCTTTAAATTGAGTCAGGAATACGACATTTTAAAGACAAACGGTTGTTTTGAATCACCCTGTATAATACAGGAAGGATCGATGATATTTCGACTATCTGTCAACTGTGTCGGTCCGACGGTTTCTTCAAAAAGCTTCCGCCCCGGCTCTCCCGTTGCGGGAGAGACGCTCCGATCGAGAAACACACAACTCTACCTTTGTGCCGTAGCCTTCCCTGGCGGGAGGCGGCGGTCCGCGCGCGTCCTCGGACAGCCTGATCGAAGAGCCACCACGATTATTCTTTCTCTCTCTCTCGTCCGAGAGAAGAGACCACGATGGTTGAACGAGAAGCGCGTTTCTTCGCGAACGCGAAAAAATTTCGAACGGTGAATCACTTGGCTCGTAGGTCGATGAAGAACGCAGCTAATTGCGCGTCAACTTGTGTTTAAAATTGTCACGTATTTTCGGAGCGACGAAGCAAGGTCAATCGTAGAAATTGAAAATATTCGACGCCGAGATGTTATTCCGGTTGTTTTCGATTCCGCGAGCGAGGAATCTACAAAAACTCGCCTTTGTCTCGCGTTTCGGAGCGTGATGGGGCAATCGTCCGCGAATAGGATTTCAGCACGTGTGCCACGCGTCGATCGGATGATCGATCGCCCCCTTAGCTGCCGAATTCCGCGAGGATCAAAAATGAGTCTACTCGAGGAGTCTGAACTGAAGAGACGTCTCCGTGTATATCAGCGAAAAGAGCATCGCGCGAATTTATCTCGTTCTAGAGCGAACTTCCGCGTTTTAATCTTGTCTGCGAGAGTTTTGAATAAAACTGCTTTGCCTCAAAAGTGAATTTCTCCACCTTTACAATTTTCTCCGCATCCAGTCTCCTTCGTATCTACGAGCCGACTTATAAATAAATAAATTTGCCTCTGCGCGGAAAATTAAAACAAATCGAAGGTTCTCGCACAGAAGTAAAATGGTCCTTCGAGCCGGATTGTGAAGATAACGAGGACGATAAGGTAAAACGGAGAAAGTGATTCTCGTGTGACTCTCGCGGACAGTGAAAAAGCGCGGGTGGACAATAGAAGCACATCGTCTTACAAACGAGTGTGCAAAAGAAGAGACAGGAACCAAGTGTCGAGTTCGCTTTAGAGAAACAAGTGTACGGGTAGACTCCGATTCACGTCGTCAAAACCCAATTCGACTCGTGAGACGAAACTTAGTGGTCTCTTTCGAGACAAATTCGTCGCGTTCGACAGTCAGGTCGTTCGCGAACTCGTGCCGTCGGCGCCGTTCACGCGCCCGACATACTTAGTGGTCTCTTTCGAGACAAATTCGTCGCGTTCGACAGTCAGGTCGTTCGCGAACTCGTGCCGTCGGCGCCGTTCACGCGCCCGACATACTCAGTGGTCTCTTTTGAGACAAATTCGTTGCGTTCGACAGTCAGGTCGTTCGCGAACTCGTGCCGTCGGCGCCGTTCACGCGCCCGACATACTCAGTGGTCTCTTTTGAGACAAATTCGTCGCGTTTCGACAACAAGGTCGTCCGCGAACTCTTGCCGTCCGCGCCGTTCACGCGCCTGACATAATCAATGGTCTCAAGTCAAACTTGAGACATACGCGTCGCGTTCGATAGAGGAAGCGTCCGCGAATCTTTCCGTCTGTACTACTGACGTTGCTCAAAAAAAAAAAAAATGTCGACAGCAAAAGATCTGTTGATCGCGCAATTAGACACGATCTCTCAAGTGAAACGCGTGCTCGTGAATTACAAGAAGTTGGCTAAGGTCAATATTACCCTGCCAAAAATTCAAGAACGATTGGACGAGCTTACGTCGCTCTGGGCATCCTGCAGGGAGCTCCACGTCAAGCTCTTACAATCTACGTCTTCAGATGAACGGGCGAAGGTTGCCTACTTCGTCGATGAAGATTTTCTAATCGCTGAGGATGTCTACCTCGAGACGGCCGATACGCTCCGTGATATGATAAGTAAATTAAGCGTCTCTTCACCGCCTTCTCTCGATCGTAGCACTGACTCCTCGTTTCGCGACAGTAATAATAATGGTTTCCAGTTGCCTCGTATTACGCTTCCGAAATTTTCGGGGAAGTTTTCCGAATGGGAAAGCTTCAAGAACACTTTCGAGTCTCTCGTTGCTAGTAACGGTACGCTCACTAACACTCAAAAGTTTCATTACCTGAAAACAAGTGTCATCGGTGACGCTGCCTTAATAATAAATAATTTAAAGATTTCGGATCCGAATTACGAATCGGCGTGGCAACTCTTAATTGCCGAATATGATGATGAGGCGACCTTGATTAATACTCACTTGCATGCTTTCATGAGCATGCCCGTTATGAAACATGAAAGCGTAGGCGAGTTAAAGAGATTGCGAGACACGGTGGCTGCATCGCTGGCCGCGCTGACGAATTTGAGTCGACCGGTTGCTCAGTGGGACGATATGCTTGTTTATTGCGTCTCACAAAAATTCTGTCAAAAAACGCGAAGCGAGTGGAACTTGAAGTGTTCCTCTATAACTTCAATTCCGGCGTACAAAGATATTCATGAATTTCTTACGACTCGAATCCGCGGATTGTCAGACTTCGCGGAAGTTTCAAGAGAAAGTGTTAATCAAAAGCCAAACAAGCCGCGTTCGTCAATGCATAACGTCTCCGCTGTCAAGTGCATATGCTGCTCAGGCAATCATTTCGTGATAAAGTGCGAGCCGTTTCGTCAAAAATCAGTTGAACAACGAAATGAGCTCGCTCGCAAAAATCGTGTATGCTTTAATTGCTTGCGCTCGGGGCATATTTCGCCGAATTGCCCGAGCCAACAGCGATGCAACCACTGCAGTCGGTCTCATCATTCTTTATTGCATTCCGAAAATTATCAATCGTCAGCTGTCAGAAAAGATTCGGAAGCTGCGAAACCAAGCGTGAAAACGAATGCGAAGTCCGACGCCTTGGACGGTTCCAATAACGCTGCCGTGGCCAGCGTCCAGACAATCGAGCCGCCGGACTTTACGACTCCCGCGGTTCTCCTCGCAACCGCGTGGGTGAACATCCACACCGCTGAGGGCCGACGCTTTAAGGTTCGCGCGCTATTGGATCAGGGATCCAATTTTAGTTTTATATCGGAATCTTTCTGTCAAACCATACGGACCAGGCGACAAAGAACCGATTTACAAATCAAAGGATTCGGGGAAACCTACACGGGTGCCGCAAAGTCGCGCGTGTCCTTGCGAATGACTCCGTGCGCGAAATCCGACCCGGTATTTCCAATCACAGTGTACGTGTTTCCGAAGATCACGTCGTACGCGGCTTCGCGAGTTCGACCTGTCGAATCGTGGCCTCACTTGAAGGGCCTTTCCCTCGCGGATCCGGATCCGTCGAGCAAACATCAAATTCACTTGCTTCTTGGAGCCGACGTTTATGGCTCACTTTTGATGCGCGACTTGAGGCAAGGTCCGCTCGGTACCCCCACAGCTCAACTAACCGCGCTCGGTTGGATTATTTCCGGTCCGACCGAAAATAAACGGAAGGCTTCAAAAGAAGCCGTTTTAAATTGCGTTCTCGGTCAAGAGATAGACACTCTTCTCCAGCGGTTCTGGGAAGATGAGGAGATCGCGCCTCAAATTCCCCTCACGGAGGAGGAAGAGATTTGTGAGCGACACTTCGTGCAGACGCATAGTCGGTTGTCCGACGGACGATACGTCGTTCGACTACCCTTTAAATGTGATCCTCCGATCGAAATCGGAGAGTCTCTTTCCATTGCGCGGTCGCTGTACAACCGCATGGAAAACAGATTGAGAAATCGATCGGAACTGTATTCGCAGTATAACGAATTTCTAGCGGAATACGAGTCCCTCGGACATATGACTAGCGTCGACGAGTCGGAAAAAACCGAGTATTTGCCCGTTTACATTCCGCACCACCCCGTGATTCGGGAAGATAGTTGCACGACTAAATTACGGGTCGTTTTCAACGCGTCGTGCCGAACTAGGAATGGCACGTCGTTGAATGACTTTTTATTAATAGGGCCCAAATTACAGCAAGATCTACCTGCCGTGTTATCGCGATGGCGACGGTGGAGCTTCGTCTGTACGGCCGACATCGCCAAGATGTTTCGGCAAATTCAAATTCATGAGCAAGATTCAGACTACCAAAGAATTCTTTGGCGTCCTCAAGCGGAAGCGCCCGTTCGACATTTTCGCTTGTTAACGGTCACTTACGGTCTCGCTCCCGCTCCGTATCTCGCAATGCGAGTATTGAAACAGCTCGCCCTTGACGAGGGAGAAAAGTTCAAGGCCGCGGTTCCTATCCTAGGAGAGTCTATTTATGTAGACGACGCCCTGTTTGGCGCGGATGATATAAAATCTTTAAAAAATACTCGCGTTCAATTGATGCAGTTAATGGAAAAGGGGGGATTTCAATTAAGGAAATGGGCATCAAATTCGATCGAACTTCTCAAGGATTTGTCTGTTGACCAATCGGAAGTAACCGATCATCTAATCCTGACGGAAGATTCACTTAAAGTTCTCGGCCTGTCATGGATGCCTAACGAAGACGTGTTTCGCTTGGTCGTGAACTCGACCACCCCCAGCGTTCCTACCAAACGCTCAATTCTTTCATTTATCGCGAGGCTTTACGACCCTCTCGGATGGGCCGCTCCCGTCGTGATCGTGGCAAAAATAATACTTCAAGAGCTGTGGTTGTTACATTGCGAATGGGACTCTCTCATCTCCGATGAGTTAACGTCCCGTTGGAATTATTTTGTATCAGAATTTCACAAATTAGAAATGATCAAAATTCCACGGTGGACTGGTCAAGGTCCACAAACTCTCGCGCTAGAGATACACGGTTTCGCTGACGCGTCAAATCGAGCTTATGCCGCCGTCGTATATCTTCGCGTCTATCATTCGCTTTCAGACTTCGCAATAAATTTAATCGCAGCAAAAACAAAGGTCGCGCCCGTGAAAACCGTGAGCATCCCGCGTCTAGAGTTAAACGCGGTAGTGTTATTGAGTCGCCTCGTAAAGTGGACTGTTAATTCGTTGCAGTTAGTTGGAACTCCGATCCATTGTTGGACGGATTCCACGATAGCTCTGGCGTGGTTGCGCCAGCACCCATCAAAGTGGAACACATACGTGGCCAACCGCGTGGCTGAAATACAGAACAATTTGCCATCTACTCGGTGGAGTCACGTACCATCGGCAGAGAACCCGGCGGATTGTGCGTCGCGCGGGCTATCCGCGTCTGAGTTAGTGTCGCATTCGCTATGGTGGACGGGACCACCATGGCTTCGGCAACCTTCAACGGCTTGGCCGATTCATGATATGACGAATACTAGACCCACTAATGAACTACAGCAAGTTTCAGCTGAACTGCGAAAAACCAAAGTTCTTCACATTGAAGGTGAAGAAGAGTGGGATCTACTTTACAAATTTTCAAGTTGGACGAAGCTCGTCCGAGTGACGGCTTACGTCCACAGGTTTCTCGCCTTACTGCGGAAGGAAAAGGTTCGTAAATTTAAAAAAGATTCGACACTGAGCGTCGACGAGCTTAAACGGGCCGAGCAATTCTGGCTGTCTTATGTCCAGCGGAGAGCTTTCAAGGTCGAATTCAAAACTTTGCAAAAGACTGCCACGATTTCAAAAAAGAGTTCCCTTCGAACTTTTGCTCCATTCTTAGGAAAAGATTCGGTACTCCGGCTTGGCGGGCGGTTGCGACACTCCGCTCTTAGCTACGATGAGCAACATCCCGTAATCGTGCCGCGCGGACAACTCGCTTACCTTCTAATCGCTCAAGCTCATAAGAGTACACTCCACGGTGGAGTTCAAATCGTGCTGCGCACCCTTCGTCAGAATTATTGGTTAATGGGAGGGCGAAACTCCGTCAAGGGATATATAAGACAATGCATCCCTTGCGTACGTCACTCGGCTAAACTTTCGAGCCAATTCATGGGAGACCTCCCGTCTCCACGCGTCAATCCGTCGTCTCCATTTGCTCATACGGGAGTGGATTATGCTGGCCCTTTCTTAGTCACGCCGTTCGTTGGCAGAGGCCAAAAAACCAGAAAAAATTATATAGCTTTGTTCATCTGCCTCGTCACGAAAGCAATCCACGTAGAGCTAGTCGAAGACTACTCTAGCGCTGGGTTCCTCGCCGCCTTTCGGCGATTTGTGAGCCGAAGGGGCTTGCCGTCCAAGCTATATAGCGATAATGGAACGAACTTCCACGGGGCTGACAAGGAATTGAACGACGCGTTCAGCGCCTTGATGAAGGATTCGTCACTGCACGACATCCTTGCAAATGACAAAATTGAATGGAACTTCATTCCGTCTGCGGCTCCTCACTTCGGTGGGCTATGGGAGGCGGGAATCAAAAGTCTCAAGTCGCACTTAAAACGAGTCGCCGGTTCGCGAACTCTGTCACAGGCCGAATTCGCGACGTTATTATGCCAAATCGAGGCGTGCTTAAATTCTCGTCCGATCGCGGCATTAAGCGACGATCCGAGTGACCTATCGGCACTCACTCCGGGTCATTTCCTGATCGGGCGCCCCATAATTGCGATACCGGAGGAGTCAGTGCTCGAAAGTAATGCGAATCGACTATCGCGATGGCAGATGGTCCATTCTTTAGTCGAACAGATTTGGCGCTCGTGGTCACAAGACTACTTGCACTCCCTGCAGCAGCGGCGTAAGTGGTCGGAAAAAACGTCTTGTTTTCGCATAGGAGAACTCGCCTTGTTGAAGAATCCCTTGCTCCCTCCGAGCAAGTGGAACCTAGCGCGAGTCACGCAGATTCATCCCGGCTCGGATGGACTCGTGCGAGTAGTTACGGTGAGAACTGCGAGCTCGATCCTGAAACGACCAATTACGCTACTGTGCCGGCTGCCAATCAATAGCAATATTTGAAAATTGTACTTGCGTTAAACTTAGATTGTAATTATTTGATAAATTTCGGGTGTGATTTATGTATTTAGCGTCAAAATCTACTATGTTAGGCAATATTCTCCTCTTCGGCGTGGTTTTCGAGCCAGGTATCGCATTTATGACTTTGTTATTCGACCCATCGCATTGTCGGTAGAATTTCGAAACATGTATAATTGTATTTGCGTGCTCGAACAGCCGAAAGAGGCGAATATTTGCTAAGGCTCAGTGCCTATTGAAAATTGAGAGCGTCTTTATAATTTAGAAATATTTACTCGAAAATTGTAAAAGGTTTTTTCACCTTCTGATTACTTGCCCTCGTTATTCGATCGCAAGGAATTATTGCATTGATCTCTTGTTTGATTTCTTGGTTGATTGAAAATTGATTTATTGTCTTCATCGTACGTTGAAGACTACCGTTGGCTATATTTCGCATATTCGCATACGTTCAAATGCGAGGCGGGCGGTATGTTTAAAATTGTCACGTATTTTCGGAGCGACGAAGCAAGGTTAATCGTAGAAATTGAAAATATTCGACGCCGAGATGTTATTCCGGTTGTTTTCGATTCCGCGAGCGAGGAATCTACAAAAACTCGCCTTTGTCTCGCGTTTCGGAGCGTGATGGGGCAATCGTCCGCGAATAGGATTTCAGCACGTGTGCCACGCGTCGATCGGATGATCGATCGCCCCCTTAGCTGCCGAATTCCGCGAGGATCAAAAATGAGTCTACTCGAGGAGTCTGAACTGAAGAGACGTCTCCGTGTATATCAGCGAAAAGAGCATCGCGCGAATTTATCTCGTTCTAGAGCGAACTTCCGTGTTTTAATCTTGTCTGCGAGAGTTTTGAATAAAACTGCTTTGCCTCAAAAGTGAATTTCTCCACCTTTACAATTTTCTCCGCATCCAGTCTCCTTCGTATCTACGAGCCGACTTATAAATAAATAAATTTGCCTCTGCGCGGAAAATTAAAACAAATCGAAGGTTCTCGCACAACTTGTGAACTGCAGGACACATGAACATCGACATTTCGAACGCACATTGCGGTCCACGGATACAATTCCCGGACCACGCCTGGCTGAGAGTCGTTTTAGTACCCCTAAACTGCTTGCGCCCGAAAAGCGCGCACGGCCACGACGCGGGCGACCAGAGAATGGCGCGCGCGTCGCCTGTGCTCTGTGCAACGCTTACAATGGGCGTACGAGCGATCGTTGGACGTTCGCCCGAGGTGTCTGTGCCGCGCCGACCAGCCGCGGCGCAAATCCTTGCGTCGTCTGAAATGACACACCGAAATAATAATGAGAAAGAGAAGCGCACAAGCGTGTAAAACGTTGGCGAACGCGCGCCCAGAGAATGCTGCGCGAATTAAGAGGGGGAGCGTGTTTGTGTATCCAAGTCGTGTGTGTACGCGAGAGCCGAGGAGAAATGGGATGAGAGTAAGAGCGCGCGCGAAGGGAGCAACAAACGGCCAAAAAAAGGGTCAGGGCGGTGAATGGCACCGCTTTCCCTAGAGCGGCGCGTGCGTCGTTGTCTCCCGAAAGTAGGTAGCGCATGTCTCACCGTCTCTCCTCTCCGTACATCACACAGACTGACCGACTGCTCTCGCACTCTGTGCCGCGTCTCTCGGTGCGATAGCGCTCGCGCGTCTTATGCCGAGGCGCCCTTGCCCGCACACATAACGGTATTACGGAGAAATATACGGCGCGTCGTCGTCCGGCGGAGAGAGCATTCGTAATCCTTTACCTCTTTACGGAGAAGGGTTTTGAATCGCGAGCCGACCGCGTGTCCGAGTCCACGAAATTTTCGTAAAGCAAAAAAAAAGGACCGGCGCGCCGCGTCGTGTACTCGTCGAATCGATTCCGCCCGAATTTCGTATATAAAAGAGAAAGGAGAGCCGAGAATTTCGAACCCCGCGATATATCGTCTCCATTACCACCAACGAGTGTGTGTGCGGTTAGCGCCCCGGCGATTTGCCTTCTCGCGTATTTCGTGTGCTGCCGCTGCTGCTCTCTCGTCGACGCTCTCTCTCTCTCCCTCTTATATATTATAGAGGAGAGACGACGATGAGCGACGCGGAGGAGGCAAACGGCTACGAAAACTCACTATGCGACGACCTCAGAGCAGGCGAGATTACCCGCTGAATTTAAGCATATTATTAAGCGGAGGAAAAGAAACTGACCAGGATTTCCTTAGTAGCGGCGAGCGAACAGGAAAGAGCCCAGCACCGAATCCCGCGGTTCCGCCGCAGGGAAATGTGGTGTTCGAAAGGATCCGCTTATCCCGAGGTGCCGCGTCGCGTCCAAGTCCATCTTGAATGGGGCCACTTACCCGTAGAGGGTGCCAGGCCCGTAGCGACCGGTGCGCGCCTCGGGAGAATCTCTCCTTAGAATCGGGTTGCTTGAGAGTGCAGCTCTAAGTGGGTGGTAAACTCCATCTAAGGCTAAATACGACCACGAGACCGATAGCGAACAAGTACCGTGAGGGAAAGTTGAAAAGAACTTTGAAAAGAGAGTTCAAGAGTACGTGAAACCGTTCAGGGGTAAACCTAAGAAACCCAAAAGATCGAACGGGGAGATTCATCGTCAGCGGCGCTGGCTTCGCGTCGGTCGGCGATGTCCCGCGGAGTCCGTGCAAATCGATCGTCGGAACTGGGTATAGGGGCGAAAGACTAATTGAACCATCTAGTAGCTGGTTCCCTCCGAAGTTTCCCTTAGGATAGCTGGCACTCGGCCGTTCCGCACGGAACGCGCGCGAGTCTCATCTGGTAAAGCGAATGATTAGAGGCCTTGGGGCCAAAACGACCTCAACCTATTCTCAAACTTTAAATGGGTGAGATCTCTGGCTTTCTTGAATTATGAAGCCACGAGCATCTTCGAATCAGAGTGCCAAGTGGGCCATTTTTGGTAAGCAGAACTGGCGCTGTGGGATGAACCAAACGCAGAGTTAAGGCGCCCAACTCGACGCTCATGGGACACCATGAAAGGCGTTGGTTGCTTAAGACAGCAGAACGGTGGCCATGGAAGTCGGAATCCGCTAAGGAGTGTGTAAAACTCACCTGCCGAAGCAACTAGCCTTGAAAATGGATGGCGCTGAAGCGTCGAGCCTATACTCTGCCGTCAGTGGCAAGTGGGGCGGCAACCGGGAGCGGGCGTTAGTCTTCTCTCGCGTCGTCACGAAGCCCTGACGAGTAGGAGGGTCGCGACGGTGAGCGCAGAAAAGTCTGGGCGCGAGCTTGCCTGGAGCCGCCGTCGGTGCAGATCTTGGTGGTAGTAGCAAATACTCCAGCGAGGCCCTGGAGGACTGACGTGGAGAAGGGTTTCGTGTGAACAGCCGTTGCACACGAGTCAGTCGATCCTAAGCCTAGGAGAAATCCTATGTCAATGACGGCGTACAATATACTCGAGTGTCGAGAAATAATAATAAATATTATACGAAAGACACACGCCCGTCGGGCAAAAGGGAATCCGGTTCCTATTCCGGAACCCGGCAGCGGAACCGCATACAATTCGGGCCCTTGTAAGAGTGTTCGTCGGGGTAACCCAAAATGACCTGGAGACGCCGTCGGGAGATCCGGGAAGAGTTTTCTTTTCTGTATAAGCATTCGAGTTTCCTGGAAACCTCTAGCAGGGAGATAGGGTTTGGAACGCGAAGAGCACCGCAGTTGCGGCGGTGTCCGGATCTTCCCCTCGGACCTTGAAAATCCAGGAGAGGGCCACGTGGAGGTGTCGCGCCGGTTCGTACCCATATCCGCAGCAGGTCTCCAAGGTAAAGAGCCTCTAGTCGATAGAATAATGTAGGTAAGGGAAGTCGGCAAATTGGATCCGTAACTTCGGAATAAGGATTGGCTCTGAGAAGCGGGGCTGACGTGCCGGGCCTGGGCGAGGTGAACGGTCGGCGTTCTCGCGCCGGTCCCGGGATCCGAGCTCGGTCCCGTGCCTTGGCCTCCCGCGGATCTTCCTTGCTGCGAGGCTTCCGTGGCGGCGCAAGCCGTCGTGGTCGTCCTCTTCGGCCGCCATTCAACGCTCAGCTCAGAACTGGCACGGACTAGGGGAATCCGACTGTCTAATTAAAACAAAGCATTGCGATGGCCCTCGCGGGTGTTGACGCAATGTGATTTCTGCCCAGTGCTCTGAATGTTAACGTGAAGAAATTCAAGCAAGCGCGGGTAAACGGCGGGAGTAACTATGACTCTCTTAAGGGAGCCGCCGATTTTGGTGGTTTCCATGCGCCAACCCCACCTCCTCGCGGTGAGAGTCGGGCAACGTCGGAACCAACCTCCCGGCGGCCAACGGGGCTCTGGCTTGGCGGAGCGGCAACGCTCCGTCCGGGTCCGTGGGGTTGCCAGCCCTTCGGGTCTGTTTACGGCAGGCACCACAAGAAGAGAAAAATATAATCTCCGGCGGCAGCCTCGGGCCGCCGGTCCTGTCGTCCCTTCGCCACCCTCTCCTGACCCCTCTCCAGGCTCTTCTCGTCGGCCGCCCGCTAGGCCACGACGCCGCCCAACACCCGCTGCCCCTGTCCCTGCTCCCCGCAAGCCCCGCAATTCCCATGCCCACACTGTGATCGTGCGTTCACCACGAAGACCGGACTCGGCCTCCATCGCCGATGTGCACACGAGGCCATCGTCAACGAGGAGGTTAACGTCGAGAGGGTTAACCGCCAATGGAGCGACGAAGAGAAGCGCATGATGGCGAGGGAGAAGGCGCTTGCCGCGAATCGAGGCGTTAGGTTTATGAATCAACATCTGTTAACCGTCGTCCCGAATCGCACCCTTGATGCCATCAAGGGGATGCGTAAGAACGGCGGTTACCAGCGCCTCGTCGCGACGGCACTGGAGGATCTGGCAGCCGCATCATCGAGCGAGAGCTCGTTTCTCTCGGCCGGTGGCTCCAGTCCTCCCGCCTCCCCTCGATCCGTCGCCATCTCTCCCCACGGGTCGCCTGGCTCGCCTCCGCTTTCTCCATCTTCTCCCGGCTGGGGTGATGCGT